AGCATGTTAGAACAAACAGTTAGTATCCATAAATATTTAGTTCGAAAATTAAATAATATTTGCACTGTTGGAAAACAAATGGTCTGTACATTTAAGTAGGCCACTTTTGAACAAGTAGATCTTCATCATACAATAACTGTCAATTCTAACAATTATACTGAATACTAATAATAATAATGTACTCACTAGTGAATAGCTCCAAGATAGAATTCTTAAAGTTCTAGTGAGAAGTTCTGACCAGTAAAATTTAAGCAATTTTAGTATGAGGGAGTTATCCACCACAGGCAATGGAAGATGGTTATGGAATATCGTGAATTGACTTATGTAAGAAATATAAAATATGGGGAGCCAGCTCAGTGGTCTTGATCTTAGGTAATGGCACACGAGAGTGGATACCCTGAGTTCGGTCTCATATGGTAAGGCTGTTGATGTGCACTGACAAGGAGTCCCACACTAGGATGAAGCAGTTATCCAGTGCTTCCTAGTTTTCAATGATGGTCTGGCTAAGATCACTTCGTCCTTTAAACCGAAAATTATACAATCTAGACAAACGCCTCTGTACTAATTATATTGAATGAATTAGTAACTGTTGCGACTAAAACATCAAGTGGTTGAACCAATAAATTCCTCACTGAAATGAATAAATTTAAAAAGAAACCTAGTGACAGTATATGAGTAGAGCAAATTAGAAAATCAAGAGCTATTATCTGCAAACCACTCAACGTCAGTAGTTTGAACATGAGTTAACAAGAATGTAATTCACAAACTTAAACCTACAGAGTAGGTGGATTGTGGCTAGTATGACCGTTTTTTCTGATTTGAAACTAGTCAGTTGGATGTAGACGGTTGAAAAATTCAGTCAAAATATTGACGATGAGATAATTAAAACTCTTATAGATTAAATCAACTTAAATCTATTTTAAGATACTTCGTACAAATCTGTTAAATATTTCTAAAGACTATTAACAGATTTAGGTTTTTGTTTGGCTTATAATACTTACAAATTCAGGAATCATTGAGCTATTCAAATGCAAACGGTTCTGTTACGGACTCAAGAACAGTAGTTGACGTATACTTCAACTATTGGTCGCTAACACGCGAAGATCGTAAAGTGTAAAAAGAATTTTATATTAAGTCAGAAAAATATAAAATACTACAACTCAGTGTATATAGTAATGAAATTATGACTTTCAGGCACACAGAATATAGCGAGATAAAAATTGGTGCCAACCAATCAGAGACAGACTAAAACCATGAGAAATCCTGAGTTGGATAGAAGCACTCTTGATCATCACCTCTTGTAAGACTTTAACATTCTTAACAAAAACAGTTATCATTATTATTTAAACATACAAAAATAGGTACAAGGTGGCACCAAATAGATATGCGCCACATAAGTCATTTGATTTGTGTGCGGGATGGGATAATGCCTGGACGCCCAGACCGAAGCACGTAGCTTTCTTAGGGGGCTACATCCGAGGCTATTGACCTAGAGCTCTAGTCAACAAGGCAGTGGAACAACGTAAGGAGATGCAGTCCCATGGTAGCGAGTGACCAATAATTGGTCCATAGACCATTTGTTCCTTCAGGATCCTGGAGCCCATGTTTACCGTTGGTTTGGAATCAGGGTTTTCCAACTCCCTAGATGGATCCTCCGTATCCACCGGCCCGGTTAGATTGTCGAACATTCGCTTTTCGTCGTCTCCATTTCGTAGACAACAGTAATGTCACGAGAAGGCAGTAAGTAGGACTTCCCTAGCAGTGGTTGTATGCATGTGGTCAAGTAAGAGCATTTCGAGAGGGAGAGTTGACTCTTCCCACTCTCGGGCGTACCAGGTGTAATTATGTGGACACTGGAGCAAAATCACGGATATATGTATCACTAAGAAATAGAGACGATGTAGTCACTCAGCAATTTTCAACTAATATATGAAAGTGAGCCCTGAAATGTAGTGCATAAAAAACAGGTATTTTCACTGCATTCATAAAAACAAACATTGATAATGTATTGAGCGTATATTTGAAAGAATGACCTAAGAATATATGAATTAATGTGCTGAAGATTTTCCTTAACTGTATATACATATTTCCATGATTTTGTTGGCTTTGGTTAATATTCAGTGTTTATGGATCAGCCACATTAATTCGTTTGAATTTTAGACTGGCTGTTTCAGCAACTGTCTACTGTGAACAGCTCCAGTGTGGCACCGTTGGGTATGGTGAATGAAAACCACAAATATATCCAACGCTGGAGTTTGAAATGATATCTTTTATGAAAATTATACTTTAATGTGTAGCGCTCACCACTAGATTGACAGAAAAGATAGCTAGAAGTGTTCGGTGTGACAAACTTAGTGGGAGTTGTGGATTTTCTCAGTCGTCTCAACCTTGATCCATTTTATATTGACTATGTTGTGTATCTTCTACAACTAGTTCACCTTATGAATTTATTATGTATTTATTGGACAGTCTTTAGTTGCTTACAATCCTTTCGAATTGAAAGTTAACATAATATTACACAATTAAAAGTGGTTATTGTGACTAATCAACATGCATTATCTCAAACTGGAAGGTTGATAAAATAGGTTATGTACCAATTGTAAAACATTTCATAGGAAAAATCTAACAATAAACAAGAGTATATTTTTTACATTGGGCAAATTAAGTAAGAAAAGATAATATGAACTAAGCTGAAAGGGATATAATGGTGCAAGAAATAATCAGGAAATTATTCATTATTCCTAAGCTGCAGTCGTTCATTTGCTAAACCATCACTGTATTTAATTTTATGTTTATTATTTTGTATAAAAGTACATTCTTTTGTCAGAAATAAACCCATTATACTGAATACATATCTTGTCTTTTGATATTAATATGTTTGGAGTCAGTAATCAAGTCTTGTGAACGGTTATTAGTCTAATTGAATAATCCAACTTACATTTGACGATTGTTATGAGTTTTGATTAATGCAAAATAACGACAGTCGGAAGACATTTCCAATATGAAATTGAAACATGACAGATCAGACGATGAATACATAATCACGCTTTAACGATGAAAATGTAAGCAAACAACAACAAAGAAAGGGAAAAGATGGGACTTTCTGTCTTAAGGTAACAATTTATATCTGAGCAACCCGAATTGTGTAATAATAGTAGTTAGTTCACTAGAGATTTCATCCAATGGAATTCGCGAATACACATCTTTCAGGTCTGTTTTAGATAAATAACTTGACCTTCGTAGTTCCTGTAGAATATAGTCAGTTTCTTCAGTGGTACTGTAGTAAACGAAAACTCAGGAATGTAGTCAATATGGGAGTGTCCCGACCGGACGACACAACTGGGTAACTAAACCTTTTTCTAATCAATTTATTTAGTCCATTCATCACCACCTCTCTTAAACTGCATGGGATTAGTCTACGCTTCAAGAAAATAGGCTCGCCCTTTACTTCTAAGTGTACTGGGTGAAGATGGGACTTTCTGTCTCAAGGAAAAACAATTACATGAATAAGCATCGCAGTTTACGCATAATGTTTTACAAAACATAAAAGCCACTAAAAGTAAGTGTGAATTATGTACATATTCTAAATATCATAAAAAATCAAGGTGTAGAAGATCACAAAAACATTTGTTTTTGTAAAAACACCAAAAATTCCCAATCATATAGACTCGCGTCAACCATAATAACAAGAAATGATATTCTGAGTCGTTTTATGAATAACCTGACAAAGTGAACCCATATATTACGAATGTTATTGAAGTAGAAATTTCTTATTTTCTACTTTCTGACTTCATATTGAAGTTTTACAGTCTACTAAACAACATTTTGTAACATAGATATTTTATAACTATGAACTCAGAAAAGTGATATTCCGTTGTGTTGTTTCACTTATGGATGAAGTATTATATACGCTAATTTTAACTAACTAATCTAATGACGCTAGAGAAAATGTTCAACTAAGGCTAACGAAATAGTAGTTGATTTTTCCTAATGATACTATTGAAATTAGATTTAATGAGAAGTTTTTCCATGAATAATTTTTTTAAAAACTCATAAGTGAAAAACTTTATTAGGTCAAAACATTGATTCACTGAATGATTATTACGAAAACAAAATTATGAATACAGTACTAATAGTCTTTAAACTGTAGGATTAGTCAGTCTGTGTGAATTCGAAATAATAAAGTGAATTCATCATATTATTTCACTAAAAGTTTGAACTATCGCTTTGTTGATATTCAGAACTGGATTTTCAGTGATATAAACACTACAGACATTTAAAAAAAAGTTATTTGGATTCAGTAACTTAGTGGATGAATTTTTCGTTTAATAAAAGACGCTAAATGTGAGCTTCAATATGAAAATCAATCCTGGGGTGTGGCGAACACACCCATCTGATGAGCCCAGAGCGAGACGAAACACATATCGCGGATTCCACTACTAATCACAATCTAACTATTCTAAAGTAAAATTGTCTTTTATTAAAGTTTATTGATTTCCTAATTTATTTTGTAGATGCCAATTTTCACGTCTTAGATAAGATCCATTGATTTACGCATCATTTAGAATATTTTGGTATTAACATCATGGATACTATTCAATCTGGCTGAAAATATTGTTAACCTATAGCAAACATCTACGAACATCCATTCATTTTTGAAGTGCTTGAAAATAGAAAAATCATGTAAGAGTCAAATATGTTAGTTCTAATCATATTAATTAATTTGTACTGAATCAAATAATTAATTATGACTTTCATTCTTGGTACACTTTCTATATGTATGTAAGAGTCTGGACATTTATTGACCTCATTAAAAATTAGGTTGGTCTATAAAAACTAATTGAACAACATGACTGAGTGCTGGATCAATCCAAGCACTTTACAGTGTAATTGATTCATTCTAAATTTCTCGCTTAGTACGCAGAAGTTAATGTAAGAAATGTCACAGTGTCAAAACTTTTTTAATCAATTAGTATAGAAAGCTAAAGAAAAAGGTTATTCATAAGACGCTTTATATGATTATTAATGCAACGAAGAAGTCAGGAGAAAAAAGTAACATTCAAACACAAAACTACGACGGAATATTAAATAGAAAGAAATTAACAACCATACAATATTGTAATATCATATAATATTCTTACACCAAAAACTGTAAGTCTAAAGTCGGCTAATCTCAACATAAAACAACACCAATGTATTGATTATTCATTTTCATAATAGTAAATTGTCATGTAATAAACACAATCACACTGCTTACAATTAGTCAACACTAAGCTAACCATATAATATCACATCCAACATCATTCCACCTTCAACAACTATCCAAACATCACAGTCAGTATTCTTCAAAGAAACAGTATAATCAATGAAAAGTCACATACACGTTGAACACTCCAAAGTGTCCACAAAGTAATCAAAAAAAGAGAAACAAGTACTCAACAGAAGAAAAATGTAACAAAACAAAAGGAACAAGCTTTCTGATCACAATTCTTCCACACTGGAACCACAAAGAGCAACACGCCCATGCCCATCTATTTATGCATACTGTATGTGAGTGTGTGTGTGTATGTGTACGTGTTTGTGTCCATATATAAATGCATGTATGTATGTGTGGATGCACGCATTAACAGCCTATGTGTACAGATGGATAGTTGAATAGTCAGATATGCACGAATTTATTTACAAACACATAGGAACTGGATACAGCAAACTATATACATACACAGTAAGATAGATAAATAAATAGAGAGAGAGAGAAAGAACGACGCGTACATTCATACACAGGTCAATAAGACTCCTCATTCTCCTCAGTCAATGCACTGTTCAACAAATTCCAATAAACGACGACCGTAGAATTCCGGTTTCACAGAGCCACCATCAGCACCATGTTTCACTGTTTTGTAAGTTTGCGCTGTACGTTTACGCATCCCATAACGAGTTAGTATGTCGATAATAGCCACAAAATAAATCAGTGGATGAGGAGAATCTGTCAAACAACATCGAAAACAAGATAACACAACAACATGATCCATATGGGTAGCAACATATTTCATCAATATATATATCACAAATCGTTACTATTGAAACAATGTCTGTCGTTCACTCACTTCACTCAAACATCTGTCATTCAAACGACTTCCATTCGCTGCAACTTCACAAACCTACTTCTTGAATTACGTGTACCGTGTGCATGTGTGTGCATGTTAGTCAACAATAAACAACAAACAATAAACGGTTATGACAAACACGAATCTCAGAGAACAATCGGATAAATACACATGGAAAAATATTCAATAGTCTACATCAAGAATATTCTCGTAACTTCCGATTACACTGGACTTCAGGGAGTGCACGAAACAGTCTCGATGCTGCTCACGTCTCATCTGTTCCTCTTTTAGAACGTTAACCGACTACAATTACTACCTCAATGTGATGACCATGTTTTCTTACTGTGATGACCCTATCGAAATGTGTTGGTTCGGATAATTGTTCTACTAGCACTCATTCACTTATTCCCCATAGGTCAGTTGCACCATCATCACACTAAATCACTAACTCGAGATCCAACTACGAGGTTCGTTTCTCACCTGAATTCTACTAACATCACTGCACAAATATGATGTCAGGTTAATCAAAAGAATAAGAATAAATCCCGTCGATTTCTAACCTACACAGTACTAACCCAGTCAGTCTCAATGAAAATCTTCACATTCGACACATACTTTCTGTACAAACGAGAATTAATGCTACACACACAGATAAAACCTTAAACATTATTATATATTTCATTCCAAAAATACAAACACAAAATCTCCTCTCACCAATTGAACTTTTGATTCCATAATGTTCTAAAGTAGGATGCAATTCACCTGAGAATAATTGAGGTAGACATTCTGCACCAGGTGGACTATCGGGTGGGGTTAATTCACCTGAAACGATCCACAGAGAAAGTATACACAGAAAATCAAATCAACTATTGAACTGCATATTCATCTGTCTTCAATTCTTATACAATCAACCAAACACTAGTCGATTCAGGTGATGCACAATCCGACCAACCACTCATAGACATACAGTAAATCACCTCGCATGCATGCATTCATATCAATCCAACTCGCCACAACTCAACTCTCATCAGCATTGTCAAAAAGGAACTAAACAAGATGAACAATAAACAAGAAGAACTATCAGTATTTTCATAAACAAGAAAACAGATCACCGAGATCCCAATCTCAGGATCGACTTTTTGTCAAGCCAATTCAGCACCTATAGTCACACAATATGGTCACTCAGCTGACCACAAAGATGAATTGCCAAAACCAAATCACTTTAACTGCACACTACCACCACTAATCCATCCTCAACTACAGTCTCCAATCAACCACACAGGTCACTCAAACAGTCATTGATTTCACGTATCAAACAATCCCATGGATTCGTTTACTCACCACTCTATCTACTTATCTATCTAACTATCCATCTTTCTTTCTTCCTCCCTTCCTTCCACTGTCAGGAGGCACCGCAGTATGCATTGATTACATCTATGATGACATTAAGGCCACGTGAAATCGTCAAGAGCAGAACACGATACAAATTACCGTACTAATAATACACCAACGCACAACACATCCAGATCATCGTACATGCACAACTACACATAAAAACAAACATGCATATTGAAAGTATGGAATATCATCGGAGAACCACTGAATCATTCCACTTGAGTTGGAAGGAAGTACATGATAAACATTGTCTGTTTGCAGCGATTACACACATTACTAAGCAACGTCTTGCACCCGGAGAGATATGCACACATCCATTCAAAAATAAAAAACAATCACCACTTCACAATAGTAATAACATCTCACCTCAATCAGTCTTAAAATAAATTCTCATCAAGTGTTTCTATACACGTGTGCAGCATTGTTTGTTCAATCATGCACTCATATTACAAACACACACACACACACGAAAATCAGGTGACAAATTCACCATTTGCAATTAACTCATTGTACAACTTGCATCAACAATCAATGACATTTGTAGTTGCAGAACATCAATCTTATTCACACAACTCTCCGTTCGACAACACAAACCAGTCAGCCAGTCAGTCGATGAAATCCAACCACAATTAAAATGTTAATTAGTGCTAACACAGAGTAGACAGTCAAATTGAATTCGGTAACAACAAATGGAATAACACAACAATAACAATATCACACATACTTGTAGGGAGTTGTGCATTATTCTCTGGTATACTGATCCCGTCCTCCTCTTCATCGTCATCATCACCTGTGCTCGCATTCCCAGTCCCAAAGCCAACTCCGACACCACCAACACCACAACTAGCAGCCTCAACAGCTGCTGACGAGCTCAGACCAAGCACAATACTCGATCTGGCCATCGACAAACGACCACATTGCCATTGTGAGCTAAGTGATCCAAGACCGTCACCTGCAGACACCATCCTATCATCGAAGCCCCGACTGTTAGGTTCCAACACACCACTATTACTACCACCACCACCTCCACCAACACCCGCACCCACACATCCACCAACCCCAGCACCACCAGTCCCTTCACCATCATCACCGGCATCCTCAAGTGAACTAGCCAGTGCAATCCCAGGATCATGCACCCCAATGAGAAGGCTGTAGTCGATCAAATTGTTCTCCTGTAAGAACTGTCACGAAGCAAAAGAGAAACGAATAAATAAAAACACAATCACAACATCATGCATCACTAAATAATCTAATACATTCGTGTCGAATGTCTACCACAAACGCGAGAGAGACATCAACAATCAAATGCACATCATGTCAATCCATTCACTGAATACATTGATTAGCTATCCAACCAACTCTTTTTCCCTGTGACACAACTCGGTCGTTCGACACTTGTTAGTGAGATTTCATTTCACAATATACACTACACTATCGACACAACAATGATCGGTGTTCAAATACAATAGTTGCTCATTCATATTTAGAGCAATAATCAAAAGTCACAGTTAGTTACCAAAACAAGATTATGGAAAAACTGTTCATTACTAACTCAATGATAAACTACTATCAATTTATTATCACGACACATTCTGTCACTGCACTCATCATCGTCAACAAACACACAATAATCTGTGCGGTTGCAATAAACAACAAAACGATCAGATACTAGTAACTTACGACTATTCTCTACCTCAATTCATATGTTTCTCAGCCGTAAAGTAAAACAGGACGAACTGATGAACAGTATACTCGTCCCCTAATTGGTAGACGCATATCTCGCCTTCTCCATAGGTGACGTAAGTTGACAAGAGCTAAACGAGAGTTTCGAACTCATTCAGAGACTTAGTCAGACACCAGCCCATTAGCGCTGATCAGACTCCAAAGATAAATGAAGTTGTCGACGCGTCCGACAACTTCACTCCCTATTCTCACTTCAGGTGTTGACACAGGCCAGCCTGAAGCAACAATTTCCATTTACAATAGGGAAACGCATCACAAACATCCTGGCATTGTTAATCAGTGCTACCAAAAGACTCTACATTTCATCAGCGTCTTCACCAAACGGGACTTTATCATCTGTGTATTCTAAGTCAATAAGTAAACACTCTGGTAGGAGACCGATTCACGAAAATTCAGACGACCAGAACATTATTTCCAGTAGTAGGTCTATGAAGAAATTAGACAAAAATGAAGACAGTGGACAGTATTGTCATACATCATTTGAGGTTGCGAAATCAGATGACAGTTCGCCATAAGCTCTGATCCGACTTGTAGTGTTCGAGTAAAGGGCCTTCATCACAAGGTTTATGCAGTTCTGAGGTACGTCTTTCAATGACAGACATTGCCACAGAACCTCTCGGTCTACAGAGTCAAATACTGTTCAAAGTCAAGGAAAACCATCATTGTCGGACGCCGATAAGCATGTCTGTGTTCTACAATCTAAGGAAAAGTCAATACATGGTCGATGTAGCCACAACCACGTTTCAAGTCAGTCTGGTTTTCTCGTGTTTGCAGTTCACGAATCTTTCTTACGTCCCCGATAATTATTCCGATTAGTAACATGGTAGTTAGGTTAGTTTCAAAAACGGGTCCGCATAATGACACAGTAAATCAACGTAGCACAGCTGTTAGTTAACAATAGTCTAGATATCCAAGTGTGACAAGGTGCATCAGGACATGTTGAACCGATCTCATGCAAATTACACACATCAATGGTGGGAGACACGCAGGATAAAATCAATTCTAAAATTATTTGCACGATTCCGATCACCTCCTATTCTCATGCATCGTACACCTCTCTATTCAAGGAAATGTTGACCACTGCACATATCTGCACACATTGTGGCAACACACACACCGGTATTCATGATGATAATAATAGTAACGGTCGTAAAATCTCACATGATCAATGAGTGTGATCAAAAATTTTACGCAGCACTACAAACACGATTTAGGACGAAATAAAAAGTCCAGACACATCAACCGTTTCACGACTCAGCATACGACATACAAATATCCAAATCAAATTAAAAATAAATTACAACGGTACAACAACACTGAACACAATGTAGATATGCACTATTCATAGCTTCAATAATTCATACGTTAATAATGAAGACTGAAAGTGTAGGTGTAGATAGTTGCAACACATCACACCATGTCCTACAACAAAACAGTACTCCTGGTAGTGTTATCACGTCACACAACACACACACACATTTCTTTCACGTGATGCATGTAGATCAGCATCAGAATTGCGGAAACATGAACAAACACAACAACAAGGAGAGGCGAGTTTTTCAAGGTCTCCCTAAAATCATATTGATGAAACTATGCACTCATCATTAGTGAAAAGAAGCGAACAAAGACAAAATAGAAAACAAAAGGTCAAGTTCATTCTCACCTTCCGATGTAATAGAAAGAAGAACAGAACAATGGGAGCAAACTAATTGATAATTAGAAGACACAAATAAAGATACGAGGAACTCGAAAGCTCAGAATTTCAGGAGGAGACAAACAGTAGATGCTCCTGAGTCATCATAAACAATTTTCAGTCATGTCAATCAAAGTCTCTGATCATTGGTTACGATAATCATGCGGATTCTAACCAGCTAGTCTACACCCATTCACATCGCTCAGTCCAATTGTCAATCACTTCATGGACGGACACCATGTTTTGGTTTGTTCACCACCAGCTTTACTTCAGACTACCCCTATACCCCACAACATCGTCTGTTGAGGTCGGTGGTGGTTGGACATACAAGTAGCACATATCCCAATCACCCAAGTTTATGCTGAAAACTAACGCATCATTCAGTTGCGTTCTTGACCTAGTACCATATTCCTATCGCAGGCACTACTTACTCGGTACTCCCAAAATACACCAGCAATGCTTCCAAGACGCCTACGATCAACTACTAGTAACCTATGAATGTCCTCTATTCTTAATGGCCGTGTTTCACATCCAGAAAGTAGTACGGGGTGAAATGCTGCGCAGTAAACCCGTCCTTTGTCTAGCAGACGGATATCTTACCTGTGCAACAAGTTAACCAAGTTGACAAAAGCCAATCCAGCTTTCTTGATTCGTGAAGAGACTTCGTCTCACATCACACCATCAGGACTGATGACACTTCAAAAACAAGTCAAACGGTCGATACATTCAGCTACTTCAACCTCTATCATTAATTCAGGCACTGATGCTAACCAATCTCAAAGCAAATTCCAGCATTCAAAGAGGGAAACATCCCATATGTTTTTTCATTGTTTCTTAAGGTGGTTAGGTTACAAGGCTCCGTATTCTGTCAACGTCTTCACCAAACACAACTATATCATCCGCGTAATCTCAGTCGACAAAACAATCGCCTGGTAGAAGATCAATCCTTCAACAGCCAGACGATGAATGTGTTATCTCTGAAAGCATGTCCATGACAATGTTTAAGGAAAATATGTGAAACCAGACCCGTTATCTCCGACTTGCTCTCCATTAGCACAAGTTAGCTGTCGAAGTATTATTCAGCCTAATATTTTGGACACTATATTAGTTAAACTCGTTCACCTGTGATTGTCACAAGTATAAATGAAGACCAGTTGAACTCTTTCCCACTGTTCTGTCAGTCGATCCAATCAACTGGACTCAAAATCAATAGTAATCTCGACTTTTCCCGAGATTGTCACACTAATAGACGGATTCTTAACACTCATTTCATTGATAAGTCTGAACAGTTATCTACCGTTACCTATCGACGCTGACTTTCCATCTACTATGCTTTCACTACTCACTCACCACTGCTCACAATCATACTCAATATGCACTGTGAATTCAAACATGCTCAGTGGATTTGTACACACTGTCATAAACACCTCGCCTCTCCTACTGCATTAAGTGGTATGAAATCTACTAAGCAAATCTCGTCAGGGTTATGTGGGAAGTCAATGGTTCATATGATGGTCAAGTGTTCTACAAACCACAACTACCACCATATTACTGATTAATAATAACACATAACGATAAACAGCACACTGTACTCTCGAATGACAATAACTGCAACTATCCTCAATTGGAAACTTTCGTCAAACAACACTGAACAACAACCCGTCATAACAGTGACACACCAAAATCAACAGTAAGATCAACTAATCACATGAAAATGAAGGGAGTAACTATCGCAATACAAGATGATTATGATGGTGACAATTAATAGGAATGGTGATGAAGATGGCACTGTCAATTGTAGAAAAGTGCATCCAAATGTGGAATTCACTGTCAAGAACAACGTAAAACATATTCTTAACGCCTGCAAGATTTCGATCCTTTCTGAAGTACAAATGATATGACTACTTCAAGCGTACACAAGCACTACATGTGGTCTTGTCTTATCGAAAGTAACGATTGAAATTTGAAACTCTCACACCACTACCAATCACAAACTCTACACACTTTCCAAAAGAATACAAACATTCGTTAAGTCAGTCAGTGGTCCTATTCATTCATTTCACAATTACACTTCTTTTACAACTGGTAGTATACACAGTATATAACTGCAAGACACCTTGGAAAATACGTCACATATTTGAACAAATCAATCTACACAAAACCAACAATATTATAATGGTAAAACACATGCATTATTCACTCAATCAGTCAATCAATCAAGCAAGCACCTACTTGTATATCACATTCCAGAGTACTTAACATTTTCTTTTTAGACTCTTCACCAATATGCATTTTGCACAAATCTGTGAGAAAATCTGCATCTTTCAGAGTCGGTAAAGGCTTCGACTATACAAATAATATAAAAAAATAAACGAAAAAACACAGAACAATTAATGCACGGTGACGTGAAACAATTCAAGGTATCAGTGATTCACACTTACTCCGATCACTTAGTCTCAGTAGTCACTATGATTACGCACACACACACACGATTGGTGTACCTACTTCATTTTTTTATTTATTCTGAAAATAATATTTACAGAATTCACACCAGTTTACAGGCATGATCAGATTGTTATAAAAATCGACATTTAATGTAGAGAGCAAACATGAAATATTTGAAAGTTTTATGTTTGCTGATTTAGTAATTGATAAATAGTTTATATAACTCCGCCTGTAGCTCCTCTGGGGGTTACTGCCGGTCCCAAGCCCGGGTAAAGGAGGAGGGTTGGGCATGGGGTTAGCGACCCCATCCCGTAGAAAATCAACTCGCTAAAAAAACGCTAACCAGAAAAAATCATTAAAACCTTTCAAACTCTGCCCTGGGAGTAGAAGGAATAATTATGACGTCTCATGATGAAAGCCGAGCTCCTTCGAAAGTCATGAGGCCGATGCACCTTCTTACAACCAGAGCGACAATTTTTATAGGTACATGGAATGTCCGGACAATGTGGGAGACCGGAAGAGTTTTCCAAATTGCTGCAGAAATGAGAAAAAACAACCTGGAGGTTCTTGGAATCAGCGAAACACATTGGACGCAAGTTGGACAACAACGACTGTCTTCAGGAGAACTTCTGTTATACTCCGGTCATGAAGAAGAAAATGCCCCACATACACAAGGAGTTGCATTGATGTTGTCCAGAAAAGCACAAAATGCACTTATAGGATGGGAATCTCATGGACCAAGGATCATCAAAGCCTCCTTCAGAACAAAGAGAGAGGGCATTACAATGAACGTCATCCAATGCTATGCGCCTACCAATGACTACGATGAAGACGCTAAAGACCAATTCTACGATAGGCTGCAGTCGATCGTCGAGAAGTGCCCAACCAAGGACCTGACAATTCTGATGGGAGATCTCAATGCTAAGGTTGGAATGGACAACACTGGATACGAAGACGTCATGGGACAACATGGACTGGGAGGAAGGAACGAAAATGGTGAGAGATTTGCAAACCTATGTGCCTTCAATAAACTGGTCATAGGTGGCACCATATTCTCACACAAAAACATACACAAAGCCACTTGGATTTCACCGGATCACACTACACAGAATCAAATCGACCATATCTGCATCAACAAAAAGTTCAAGAGGACGATGGAGGATGTGAGAACCAGAAGAGGAGCTGATATAGCATCCGATCATCATTTGCTGGTCGCCAAGATGAAACTAAAACTCAAGAAGCAGTGGACAACGGCGCGGACAACATCACAAAAGTTTAATACGGCCTTTCTTCGAGATGCTGACAAACTCAACAAATTCAACATAGCCCTCAGCAACAGGTTCCAGGCCTTTCATGACCTACTCAATGGAGAGGGGACTACCATGGAGAGCAACTGGAAAGGTATCAAGGAGGCAATCGTTTCAACGTGTCAAGAGGTTCTGGGCCAAAAGAAGCACCATCACAAGGAATGGATCACTGTTGGTACACTGGATAAGATTGAAGCAAGGAGGAACAAGAAGGCAGCAATCAATACCAGCCGAACAAGAGCAGAAAAAGCCAAGGCACAAGCCGAATACACAGAGGCAAACAAGCAAGTGAAGAGGAGCATCAGAACCGACAAACGTAAATATGTTGAAGATTTAGCAACGACAGCGGAAAAGGCTGCAAGAGAAGGAAACATGAGACAATTGTATGATACAACAAAGAAACTTGCTGGAAATTACCGTCAACCAGAAAGACCAGTGAAAAACAAGGAAGGCAAAGTAATCAACGATATTGAAGAACAACGAAACAGGTGGGTAGAACACTTCAAAGAACTCTTGAATCGACCAGCCCCACTGAACCCACCCAACATCGAAGCAGCACCCACGGACCTCCCAATCGATGTTGGCCCACCAACAATTGAAGAGATCAGCATGGCCATTAGAAAAATCAAGAGTGGCAAAGCAGCGGGACCAGACAACATCCCGGCAGAGGCACTGAAAGCAAATGTAACAGCAACTGCCAAGATACTACACATCTTCTTCAGTAAGATTTGGGAAGAAGAACGAGTACCAACAGACTGGAAAAAAGGACTTCTGATCAAGATACCAAAGAAAGGCGATCTCAGCAAGTGCGACAACTACAGGGGCATCACTCTTCTCTCAATACCAGGAAAAGTCTTCAACCGGGTATTGTTAAACAGGATGAAGGATTCCGTGGACGCCCAACTTCGAGATCAACAGGGTGGATTTCGTAAGGATAGATCGTGCACAGATCAAATCGCAACTCTACATATCATTGTGGAACAATCAATCGAATGGAACTCATCACTCTACATCAACTTCATCGACTACGAGAAGGCATTTGATAGCGTGGACAGGACGACACTATGGAAGCTTCTTCGACACTACGGCGTGCCTGAGAAGATAGTAAATATCATACGGAACTCCTGTGATGGACTAAACTGCCAAATCGTCCACGGAGGACAACTCACCGACTCATTCGAGGTAAAGACCGGTGTTAGGCAAGGTTGCTTACTCTCACCATTTCTCTTTCTCCTGGTCATCGACTGAATCATGAGGACGTCAACATCTGGAGGAAATCACGGGATACAGTGGACAGGCAGGATGCAGCTTGACGATTTAGACTTTGCGGATGATCTGGCTCTTCTATCACAAACGCAACAACAAATGCAGGAGAAAACGACCAGTGTAGCAGCAGCCTCAGCAGCAGTAGGTCTCAATATAAACAAAGAGAAAAGCAAGACTCTTCAATACAATACAATATGCACCAATCAAATTACACTTGACGGAGAAGCTTTGGAAAATGTGGAAACCTTTACATATCTGGGCAGCAACATTGATGAACATGGTGGATCAGATGCAGATGTGAGGGCGCGGATCGACAAAGCAAGAGCAGCATACCTACAACTGAAAAGCATCTGGAGCTCAAAACAATTGTCAACCAACACCAAGGTTAGAATTTTCAATACAAATGTCAAGACAGTTCTACTGTATGGGGCGGAGACGTGGAGAAATACGAAAGCCATTATCCAGAAGATACAAGTGTTCATCAACAGCTGTCTACGCAAAATACTTCGGATCCGATGGCCAGACACTATCAGCAATAAGTTACTGTGGGAGAGAACAAACCAGATTCCAGTGGAGGAAGAAATCAGGAAGAAGCGCTGGAAGTGGATTGGGCACACGTTGAGGAAATCAGCTAATTGCGTCACAAGACAAGCCCTCACATGGAATCCTGAAGGTCAACGGAGAAGAGGAAGACCAAAGAACACATTACGCCGAGAAATAGAGACAGACATGAGAAGAATGAACAAGAAATGGATAGAACTAGAAAAGGAAGCCCAGGACAGAGTGGGTTGAAGAAATCTGGTCGGCGGCCTATGCTCCATTGGGCGTAAGTAAGTAAGTAAGTAAGTAAGTAAATAGTTTATATATGGCAGGCCAATGCAACACCAGGGAACTTGTCATTTTTTCTTAAGTGGATAGCCTGATGTTCTGTAAGGTTATTTCTAGTGCCAGAGCGAGTTGTTGACAATTATCTACAACTAGAGAAAGTAAGATTAAAGCAAAGAGCACGGAACAACAAAACAATGATAGCAAGTAAGAGGTTAAACACTTAAAGTTCCGATAATCTCACTTGTGGAGTAAGATACACTTGCAGGCACTAGAGCATATAATGCAGTTTCAGAGGAGAAAAAGGCATTAATTGAGCGAACAAACAATGGGAGAGAGTTTAACATACGGATAGTTTGAGGTAAATTATTTCAGAGCCTGGAAAACTTACAGGTAAAGTAATTCATACAGAGAGAAGATCTAGAATATGTTTGTTTGGCTAAAGACAAGGAGTTACGAATGTCGTAATATGAGGCTTTAGCGTATTGAATCGCCTGGCTGGATGTGAAGGAGAGTTTGTTAAGTATTTTGAAAAAGAAGACAAGGTTAAGTTTGAGTCTCCTCTTCCATTGTTACTCTCCCGATCAAACGAAACTTTCTGTAACTTCATAATGATAACCTACCAACTTGCAAATATCGGTAACTGACACGCATCCCAGTGATTCATGTCAAACGAGACTATAACTCTTCCATAGTTGACAATATGTGAAATAATTGAAGACTGAAATATCGATGGTCAATGAGAGTTGAGACAACTCCAACACTATGTTAAATAGTGTCTGATATGACTACATGGAACATTTCTCATATTCAGGTCATCCACTTAGTCAATTCAGAACAACGATTTCCACGGATGGGTAGTATTGTCAATACATTTTATCGATTCAACAACCACCAGTCTAACTAATGAATCATCTTGTAACACTCATCAACAGAACAGATACAACTGACTCGATATACAAACAGATTTTATGCATGATTTAAACGGAGGTTAACACAAACACTTCACAACACGGTCTTACTATTCCCATTGACAAGGATATTCAGATAACTGCTCCTTCCAATAATCACAGTTGGTCAAACGATACAACGAATCAACAGATTAGGACTGACACATCATCTCACCATACGTGTGTAATCGAAACTTCATTGGAATTTCACTCAGTCAACTATTACCAAGTGAACAGGTTATCATAACACAGATAATACACGTGTCCAGACACTGAGTATACCGTCATTAAGTCTACATCTCAACATCAACTTCCAAATCACATTCATCAACGCATGCTTCAAACTACCTCCCTCAATGGTCAGACGATAAGCTGAAACACTCAATATCACTGATAATTGTTTCAGTTCACCAACCAGCAAAGTCAACTACTTAATGCCTCGCATCTTTGGTCGAATCAGACTACACAGAGCATGTCTAATTGTAACTAATCATAATCTGGATAAAAATCTACAAGTTTGTAAGTACACTACTCCATCAGCAACGACTTGTTA